ACCTTGCCAAGGACGGTGGGAATGTGGGGGGCAGCATCTTGCCTGCTTGCGCAAACCCGCCATCCCTGTCAGAAAAAATGCTGCATGACTGCGGGCACACGCGCGCACATTGCACGGTGCTGTCAAACCCGCCTTCACTTCGCAGCAATTTTCTGACAGGGATGGTGGGGGTCGACAGGTTGCCCACTGTAGAGCAAGTGGTGCGCGGCATGTGCGGCGCGCCTCGTGGGCAACGCGCACATGGGCGGTGTCTGCACTGGGTCCCACTAGTTGTCGATGGCGGCCCCTGCTTGCGCTGAGACTCCGGCCCCCCCCCGTGGGTCCGGACGAAGGTGGGCTGCAAGAGGCTGGAGCGCCCAAAAAGGCCTCAGAGAGAAGGTCTCCAACAAAGAAACCCTACGAGCGTCCCCACCGGCAGGCACGAGGCCCCCCAAGACGCTCCCATCCCAGGAACAAGGAGGCCCCACCGTTCAGGTCAGCTCCGCTGGGCACTGGTGGGGATCTGCGAAACGTCAATCATAGATTGTACATCGCGCAGCGTGCATCACATAGCTTGCACCACGATTGTATGCATAAAGCGAAACATGAGAGACCATGGGTTGTTGTTGCGGTGCGGGCGATGAGCCCATTCTCATGTGCAGCAGAGGCGAACCAATAATACTACAAGCTGTGAGCTGACAAATGCCAAGCTGAGATATTACACGCAGAACAGACTCAAGGCATACTGTAGAGGGTGAGAGGAAGGAAAACATCGTAGGGGGAGGACAGAAGGGGGGGAACGGAACGGCAGGGGCCAACATTGAGAGCACGCCTCCCGCCTTATTCACCTAAACGTAAGGACAGGAACTGAATATGCTGAAACCATGGGCAGACTCCTGCGCGCAGCCCCGAGTCAGTTACGCCGAGGCCAGGCGTGCATCCCGAAGTCATTCCTCCCATCATCGCTGTGGGCGGGCACGAAGGACTCTGGTGCGAGTGCGAGACTCGTTGGCGGAGGAAGCCGCCTCGCGCTGGCGTGTTGTAACCAGCCACTCGCGCGCCAATGCAGCAGGGGCCACGACCAGGCCCGTGTGTCGTGGCGCCGCTCGGCGTGATCGTGTCACGACTTCAAAAAACGTGCATAATCACAGCACCGCTTCCCGACGGTCACCACGTAGCCGCAAGCGTTGCTGCGGCGGCGCTGCACGTGCGCGGCCCAGGACTCTGTTGCCCTGGGCCTCACTCTGGCTAAGATGCACAACGTCTCGCGCTGGACGCTGCCGATTTTTGTCGGCGGCGCCCTTCTGGACAGGCTACCGGGGCCAACGGAAGGACGTTGATGGCCTAGTGGAGGTGTCTGCATGAAACGCAACTTTGGGCGGATTGGGGACGCTCTCGAGTGCCGTGGACGCCTTAGAATGCCCTCCTCCTGTTGCAGATAATGAAGTAAGTGTAGGCACGTTGGTATGCCACCGACCTCGACGAGATGGTATCCGAGTCATTTGACCGCCGTCGGGCCGCTGCCACTCGGGAGCGCCGGCAGTGACGCTCGGGCAGCCCTGGCAAGTCATGTGCCCCATCGAATCCTGGCCGGCTTCCCAAGACCAGCAATGTTTTGGGTGTATCCCGCAGTCGATGAAAATGTCGGTTGCCGTCGCCAAGGAGAGCCCGAAAGACGCCAGGTTGCCGACGAAGGTAGCAAGGGCACGCGCAAAATCCTCGACCGAAAATGGTGGGGGTCGCCGCGTGCCAGAACGGCACAATGCCGCGTCCAGCGCAGGAATGCGCCCGGCAGCTGATGCCGAATGGCTGCCAGTCAAGGTAAGGTGCCCGCGATTGCTGCTGCGCAAATGCGTTCCCGCCGTGCCGGCGACGAGAACAATGGCGGGGCGCAGCTGGATGGCCGCGGGGGCCATCGCCGGCGCCGCGCGAAAACCGCTGACCACCATTCACTGGTAGGGGCGGAGAGGTTGCAAGTTGTCGTTGGATCGGCGAACATCGGCTTGCGCGACGCAAGCATTCGATCGCACGTCGAAGGGCCGTCTCGATCGCGAGGCTGGACGGGAAGGTGACGTCGAGCACTTGTTTGTCGGCCTTTGCGAGCGCGTTCGAAGAAGCGTCAGTCGACGGCGGCGCCCAAGGAATCAGACTATGCTCACGCGGCTCGCAATGATGGGGTCCAAGGTGACGGGCGCGACCAGGGGGGGAATGACGCGCGCTCGGCCTGCGAGCGCGGGCCCTGAGCTCTCGGCGACTTCGCAAAGAATTCCGAGGTCGCGGAGCCTAGCAGGGTCCGAAATCAACTTCGCGAAGAAGGCCGCGATGGCGTCGGGGCGGGCGCTGCGCGCAAGTTGAGCGCCCGTGGCAAGACGGCCGCAGCGATCCAATTCTCGCCGGCGGCGCGCTGCAAGCAGTGCTTCTCGCGACTCGTCCGTGGAGACGTCGATGTTTCAGCCCTGCTGTTGCGCGAGCTCGCTCTCCAGCCGCTAGTAGCGGACGCGGTCGCTGCGCCCCCGCTTTGGGGAATGCCCCCCTGCGCGAGATCCGCCCGCTCATGGCGGCCCGCGCTGTCGGGGGCCTCGTGAGAAGCCTTCGCCCCAATCAATTTGCGCAGCTTGCCGGCCTTCCAGATCGGCCCCGCGGTTGCAGGACTGTCGGTCGCTGATGTGTCGCAACGAGTCCAACCGGAGTCCAACCGAGGTTCGCGGCCTGTTCAAATGAATTGCCGCGGTCGGCTCCGCTCGGCCCCCGGCGAGGCGAGCGCCCGCTGGCGGCGGAGCTCCTCGACGGCGGGGGGGCCCCGGATCCGTCGGCGCTCGGGGCAGGGCGCCGGTCGCTTGTGGCCTGCTGCGCTGTCGCGGCGACGGCGTCGATGCCGCGACAGTCTCGATCTGCGCGCCGCCCGCGCTGTCGATCATGTTGCTTGCAGAGGAGAGGGCAGCCAGGGCGTCGCGGCCAGCCCGCGCGCTGCGCGGTCTTCGTGCGATTAGCTGGCCCGCGCGCGGGCGTCGGGCGATGTGGGCAGCGCGATCGGGGGGGCATCCTCGGGCCAGCACGCAACGGCGCGCGCGCGCGCTGCCGCCGCGCGCGCGGCGGTCGATCCGCGGCGGCAGCCCCGACTGCGCGACAAATGGGGCCCGGGCGATGGGCGAGAGCGCGCGCTCTCAGCAGCGCGCGCTGGGATGGTCATCCGCAATAAGAGTGGGAATTTGCGAGGGGGCAGAATGGGGGTCCAAAGACTGGCCCAGAAGAGTTTGTTGAACGGCATGTCGGGCAAGACGGCCAGGCCTCTCAGCGAGAAGGCCCTTGGGTATAAAAAGAAGGGGTATCGACGCTGAACTCGCCCGCGGCGACGAGGCGGGCGCCGGCGGCGCGAATTCGACGCGGGGGCGTCGCGTCAGACGAGCCGACGGGGAAGTCGCCGCCATGGGCCCCGTGGATGAATACGAAACCCATCTTCATGGCCGCGCCGTCGCATAGGCGCGCGCGACAAGCCCCGCCGCTTTCTGCGACGGGGCAAGGCGCGGAGCCACGTCTCGCGCGGGAGAACGCAGATCGGGGCCGAGCCTGCCCCTGCCCAGAAACGCCGTCAAAACTAATATATTAAACTTAAATGCGGTCGGCGGCTAGGTGGGCGTCTCACTCGTCGAGGAAAGCGACCAGCACGCGGGCAGCAAGATCGACCAGCCTCTTCGATGCTGAGCTGATCGCGGTGAGTGTCTGGGGGGCTCACGACTGCTCGGCGAAAGCCCCGGCGAGGTGAAGCAGCTCTGCCTCGCGCCGTTCCTTTGCGAAATCACCCCCGGCCATTCAGCGCCAACGCCAGAAGCCCGCCACTTTGCCCCCTACCTTCGCGCACTTGGCGGGGACGTCCTTCGAGGCCTCCTGCTCGTCAGCGCGCCCGGTCTCGAACTGCTCCAGTATCTCGTTCGCGCGATGCACGGGGCGATTGGGTTTGAGCTCGTTTCCAGTCTTGAGCGCGTCGTGCCACGCGGCGCGGCCGCGTGGGAACTTCCTGCGGGTGGACTTAACGAGCGCGCGGGCGCGGGCGAGGAGGCGCGGCGACGTGCAGACGACATCGAAAGCGGATCCCGATTCCTCGCGCGTGGAGGCGACGCTCGAGAACGCCGTCCGCGCCGCGAAGCCGCGCTCTAGCAGCAGCTGCGCGCAGCGAGTCTCGAGCTCCATCGCAAGCGTATCGGGCCCAAGGTTGTCGACGTAGGTCAAGACGCGCTGCTCGTAGGGCACCTCGTCATCTGCGCGCGGCGCTGTTGCCGCCTGCGCGTCGACCAGACGAATGACCTCCGAGGTCATGGCGCATGTCGCTTCGTGCCTCCAAGTCGTCGCCTTTATCATTGCACTTGGTGATCTTGTTCGTGCTGTCGGTGACGTCCAAATCCATGGCCTCGATGCGGTCCTCCACCTGTTCGCAGACGATGCGGGCAAGGGCCTGAGCGACCGCGTCCCGCGTCTCGCCTATCCACTTGACCTCCTGGGGCACAAACGGTGCTTTGCGCGCAGGGGGCGCGTGGCGGGTGGCGCCAGCCACGCCGCCGCTGCAGGAACCAGCGCCCAGGGCGTCAGCGCGAACACTCCTGGGAGTGGGCGAGCCGGTCCTGGAACCGCAAATCCTGTCATGACACCGCTGTCAATACGCCGCGGTGAGCCCGTAGCCACGCAAGTGGCCTGCGCGTGGTCTAAGGGCGTGCCTGCGCCTCCACAACTGTTCAAAAGGACTGAGCAACCTGCTGGCAATAAAGAAGAGGGCAAGACATACATTAATCAATAACGTAAGTCGCACGATTGCGGCGATATCATATGCTGACCGGGTGCTTCTGCTTCAAAAGCTGACCGCGCTATCGTGACCACTTCCCCAGTCAGTGAAAACCCTCCGTAAGAGACCCCGTGCCCTTCCAACGCCCAGGGCACGTAAATGACATAGCATATCATTGCCATTCGGCGCCCCGGAAATCTTGCATCCACGCAGGTCGTGATCACACCAATGGGGATGTATTTGCGAAGTGCACCTTGGCTTTCCAACTGGTGGTTTTGGCGCGTGCCCATCGCCGCGTTCACGATGTGACCCTGCAGTTGTGCTCGCGTGCCTGGGTCGATGTCCCTCAGTGGGCTCCATCCAGCGCGCGCCGACGACAACAACCTGGCGCAGATCAGATCCTCTTGGAGAATTCCCGTGGACGACGTCGTCAGCTCCCTGGCAGTCGGCATGAACCTAAAGGCGCCAACTCCACGGGGGCCATTTCAGGTCCATGGCGCGGGGGCGCAACTGCGTGACCGGACCGCGGAGACGCGGGCCGGCCGCAGCGCGGGAGTGCCGTGTAGACCTGGGCTCCATACCACCGTCCAAAACGGTGATCGCATAATCTCGCCAACACTCGGACGTCCATTCCCCGTGCATTGTTCGACTTCGCGCGTTTTTTGTTGTTCTTTCGATGGGGCGGGATGGCCCAAGATGCTCCTCGATGGTCACCGACGAGGAAAACACACACACGTTCGAACGATGCCCAACAGTGGAAGCACGCCCACCCGCCTGATGAAGTCCGGTGCCCGCTGGAGCCATGACGCTTTGGTCGGGCATGCGTCTCGGTGGCTCCGCCAATCAAAACCCAACATTTCGTATAATGGATCTTCCGGTGAAATTCGATGGCCGCAGTGCGCGTGAAGAAAAGCCTCGGCCTTGCGCGTCCGGTAAGAAGCAAGCGAACGGACTGCTTCCTACCAAGTCTGGCCTCTGTACTCCCAGGTCGTGCTCGGTGTGCCCATTTCGCACGGGGGACCCGTGAACTTCTCTGCCCACAAAGTTTTGCAAATTGCGGGACAAATCGAATGGGCTCCACAATGTTCGCCTGCCAATCTCGTCCATTCACGTGCCAGCAGCGTCGAAGGACGCAGGTGGAACCCTGAAGCAGGAGTGGTGGACAAAGCAGCTGGGGTTCGGTCCCGCCCACAAAAATAACAAACAGCATAAGCATATATACTTTTAGATTAGGAAGGCGCTTGCAATCTATTCGGATCTCGACAAACCCAAATATACGGACGTTTCGACGATTTGCTTGTATCCTCGACGCCGAGTGCCGATGGTGTGCGCGCAAGCGGCGCCATCCCGAGGGCGGCGGCGAGCAGGAAGCAGCTATCGTAACCGCTGCCTGATCTCAAGAACGATATTTTTTTCCAAACATCTTTGCCACTGGATTCCAATCGATAGTTTGAACTATCGTTTTCGAGAACTCAGGGAAATCTCTGATGCAATGCGCCACAATCCACATCCAAGCAATGAAGACGTCACCCCCGAAATTGCCCAGGCACATAACTGCGTAAACACAAACATATGATCACCCAATTCTTGTAGATGCTGTAAGATGGCCTGCGTGCTCCTTGCCTTGTCGAAGAATTCGCCCTACCACCACATGTATCGGATCATATAAATTGTACCACGCTGTTTTCACCACGTATTTACCAACAGCGCTAACCATGGTGTGTCATCTTGTTCGAACCAGAAACGTCCAAGACAGTCCAGGAGGTCCCAAATAACGCCCCAGGATGGCCCACGGAACTCGAACGAGGCCTCCTGTAGAGGCGCCGAAGAGGCTCCCAGAGGCCCCGAAGAGGCCCCCAAACGATTCACGGCTTCTAAGTCCGACAGCCGAATGCGGCTGACCCCGGAGGCCACCACGAAAACTCCAAAAAGGCCCCCGAGACGGCCCAAGAGGCGGCCCCCGGCCCCAAGAAGGCGCAGGAGACCTCGAAAACCGGCCTGAACAGCAGCAGCAAGGCCCAGGTAACCCATCATGACGAGCACCGAAAGCGTCTGACGGGCCTCGAGGGCCTCGGGGCGGCCCTTGAGGCCCCCAAGAAGCCCCAAAGAGGCCCCAAAGATGCTCCATGGGCCCCGAAAAGGCCCCCGAGAGATCAACACGAAACTCCCAGGAGGCTCACTAAAAGAGTCCCAAACGACCCCCCAGGAGATCTCCCTCTCCTCCTCCTCCTGTACCTTTTTCTCCCCGATGTGTTCCGCCAACGGTTTCCACAACGGCTGGGGGAACACATCGCAATACCGCTTGGCCACACATTGGCCGAACGTTTGGCAGAGCACGTGGGGTTGAAATTGTATTGCAAGTGTACCACTAAGGGTCAAACGAGAGCGCACGCATACATACACGTAGCACCCTGCATATGCGCATAAGAGTGAGGGGGCGGTGGGGATGTCGGCAATTTGCGAAACTCTGGATACGCCCGCTGCAGGCGCCAAGGTTTCACAAATTATACAACGAACCCGCCGCAGGCGCCGATTTTTCGTGAAACCGATGTGGGTAGGTCGTGGGTGGGACGCAAATGGATCGCGGGCGGGGCGCGGGTGGGTCAATGTTGGGTCGCGGGTGCAGAGGGCAGAAAATCCACCCCACAATAATCACCCCGACAAGCGAAGCCGTTTAGAAAACGCACACAAGGAAGGAGTCGAACAGGGCAGGGCTGTTTAATCGACGCCCAAGACGTTTAAAAAACTTCAATTGTCGGGTCCGGGTGGTTTTTCCTCCCTTGAGGGTGGGTCGCGGGGTATTTTGAGACTGTTCGCTCTTATCTGGTCGCGTGTCATTCAATATGCATATCCCAACCCTGGACATCAGCCCTCTTCGTCTTCGATCGTGCCCCCTCTTGGGGGGTATATTCATTTCCTGCCGCGCGTGGTTGGTGAAGCCCTTGAAAACGAAAGGTAATTGATAACGGGGGAGAATGTGGACGAAGGGATGGGAGGAAAGGGGGGGGGGACGGGCAAGTCGGAGAGAGGACGATGATTTGCGCTGCGAGTGGTGATTCGCCTCGCGACATGGCTTGCGCCAGCCACTCCAACACAAGTTAACAATAAGTTTCGCCATGGGTCGCGCCATAAACAGCGCCACGTACCACCCCCTTGAAAGAACATGTCGTGCATACCCCCACAGGGGGACGTGCAGTTGCGAAGCGGTGTCAGAAACAATTGTCGTGGAACCCTGAAAAGAAGCGGGATGTTGGGAGAGCGGGGCGGAAGGATAGTGAGAACTTGAACCGTGTCGAGAAGAGCGCGGGCATGCATATGGGGCCTCGAAGGGCGCGAGCGAGCGGGGGCCACGAAGGGCATTCAATCCGGGGCCACAAAGGGCAGCGACGAGCACGCTGAGGGCAGCACCGGGGCCACGAAGGGCAGCGAAGGGGCCACGAAGAGCGACAGCGGGGCCACGAAGGGCATGCATATGGGGCCACGACGGGCGCGAACGAGCGGGGGCCACGAAGGGCATTCGAATATGGGGCCACAAAGGGCGACAGCGGGGCCACTGAGGGCAGCAAACGGGCCACGAAGAGCAGCGAGAGGACCACGAAATGCGACAGCAGGGCTACGAAGGGCATGCGTATGGTTGCGAGGATGTCCAAAACGAGAGCGCGATTTCCCCAGTAAGGAATTATCAAGCGGGGGCCGCGATTCGGGGCAAGGAAGTCCTAAGCGAGAGCGCGATTCTTCAATACATTGTAAGGAAGTCTCAAGCGGGAGCCGTTGTTGGCGCTGGCCACGACGGGCGCGAACGAGCGGGGGCCCCGAAGGGCATACGTATAGGGGGCCGCAGAGGGCAGCGACGGAGCCGCTGAGGGCAGAAACAGGGCCACGAAGGGCAGAGAAGGGGCCACGAAAAGCGACAGCGGGGCCACGAAGGGCATGCATACGGGGCCACGACGGGCGCGAACGAGCGGGGCCTCGAAGGGCATACGTATATGGGGCCGGAACGGGCGACAGCGGGGCCACTGAGGACAGAAACAGGGCCACGAAGGGCAGCGAGAGGGCCACGACGGGGCGACGAAACGCGTGCGCATGGGACCACGAACGGCAGCGAGGGGGCCACGAAGGGCGACAGCGGGGCCACGAAGGGCATGCATATGGGGCCACGACGGGCGCGAACGAGCGGGGGCCACGAAGGGCATTCGAACATGGGCCCACAAAGTGCGACAGTGGGGCCACTGAGGGCAGCAAGCGGGCCACGAAGGGCAGCGAGAGGACCACGAAGGGCGACAGCGGGGCTACGAAGGTCTTGCGTATGGGGCCACGACGGGCGACTGCGAGCGGGGGCTATGAAGGGCATCTAATGCGGGGCCACAGTGGGCAGCGACGGGGCCAGTGAGGGCAGCGACGGGGCCACAAAGGGCAGCGAGCGAAGGCGACCGCGGAACCAGCACGGGCAGCGAGGGGCATCGAAGGCGGGCGAAGGGCACCGAGCGGCGACTGCAGTCCTTAACGGGCTGATCGGGCGGGCAGGCCCAGACTGGCGGTCGAGCGGGCGGGTCGTTGAAGCGTAAATTCAGCTTGAACCGCCAGGCGATATGTAGCGGGAGCGCGATTCCTGAGTGTCGAAAAGCGGCATCTGAATCAACTGTGAGGAAATATCAGGCGGGAGCCGCGATGCGGTGGTAAATTGCAAGGAAGTCCCAAGCGAGAACGCGATTCTTCAGTAATTTGGAAGTATCAAAGCCACGATCCGGTGGTAAATTGCGAGGAAGTCCCAAGTGAGAACGCGATTCTTCAATAAACTGAGAAGGTACCAGGCGGGAACAGCTGTTGTTGTAAACCAGGGGCCAACGACACAGTTTGACCCTCAAGACTTTCCCTGATAATAAAACAGGGTGCGGACCCTTGGGGGAAGGCACTTCAATAGAAAAAACAATGTGCACCGGACGGGGGGATCAACAATTATAATTTTTCAGAAATGAGAACTCACAACAACAACAACAACAACAACGCAACAAACAAAATGCTCACCACGAACTCCTTGTTCACACCCAGGTACAATGAATGACCGTTCGGCCCCCTCATTCTGATACGCAGCACCCCGCAATTGCGGATAAGAGTGAGGGGGCGGACGCGGGCGACGCGGGCGCCGAGCCGGCGGACCTCGTGGCCTTCACCTTCCCTGTCGATGGCGCCTCCCTCCTCCTTCTCCTCCTGCTCCTCCTTTTCCTCCTCCTCCTCCTTTTCCTCGTCCGCGTCTTCGTCCTCATCGTCGTCGTCGTCGTCGTCGTCGTCGTCCGCCTCCCCCTCATCCACCTCTTCCTCCTCTTCCTCCTTTTCCTCCTCCTCCTCCTCCGCCGGCGCCGATGTGCTGTTGTAGAGTCAGCGTGGGCCGGATTGGGGGATAGGCACGAGGGCGCTTTCCCAAACCAATGCGAGCAAGCTCGCCGCAGGCGCCGATTTGCGTGCTCTGACAAGTTCAGCGCTGGTGGGATCGCTGGTGGGCCACCGGGAACGAATGCAAAAACAGCCCACCGCAGGCGCCGAATTTCGGGTGGGTCGCGGAAGGGTCGCGGGTGGGTCGCGGGGTGGGTCGCGGGTGGGTCGCGGGGTGGGTCGCGGGTGGGTCGCGGGTGGGTCGCGGGGTGGGTCGCGGGTGGGTCGCGGGTGGGTCGCTGGTGGTACGACGACAACAAACAACAAACAACAACAACAATAATCCGCATCGCGGAATTCCACTTCAGCCACGCGCCAAGGGACAGTGAATGACAGTTCGATTCAGCCCCTTCACTCTGATTATGTATATATACACATATACATGTATGTGTAAACTTGAAGTGCACGTGCAAGTTCAAGTAGAAACTGAAAACGTATTCAACGTTCAATTCAGGTACACATGCATATTCACTTGCACGGCCAAATACACGTGCACGCGCATGAATATGTACGCGTATGTCGGCAACGTGTTTTCCTCATATGCATCGCGCACGTACACGCGCACGTACACTTACAAGTACACGTAAAAGTGAACGTTCACCGGAAAGTACCCATGCGCCAAAAAGGACACGTACACGTGCGAATGCAAGTGAAGATGTACGTACAAGTGTAGTTATACTTGCAATTAATCGCGCTAGTACCACCAACCCTAATACTACAACCACTTCAACTGCTACTACCCCTTTTACTACCGCTTCAAGACTACCGAGTGTGATTCCGATTGCACCTTTACTGGTGCTGCTACTGCTGCTGCTCATCACACCTGGTACTGCTCCAACTTACTTTTACTTCTGCTGGTTCGCCTTCCTCCGGCTATACCTTCAACCACCATGGTCATCAATTTCATCGCCAACGTCGCAAGTGCCATGATCCTATTATTCGAAAAACCGTTTGTGGTGGCACTGTCATGTCTGCGAACGTTTGCCGATGCGAATCAAACTAGTCCCCTGGTTTTTGAAATCCCAACTTGCTCCCGGCACCCGCCATGCGGGGCGGACCTTCTTCCTGACGGGGTAGTCCTCTGGGGTGTCCTGCTTGTACGCAGGAATCCCGCCGGCCGCGTACATGGCCAGACGGTACTCCTGCATTGGGGGGGAGAGAGATCGGCTGGGAACGGAGGGAACTGAAGCTGGCGAAGGCAATGACAGTGGTGGATGGGAGACGGCAGGGTGAGGCAGACGAAAAAGGTGAGGGTAGCAGGGGGGAGGCGAAAGTGTGAAGGTGGTAGAGGGGGAGAGGAAGAAATATCCACACATGCAACGATGTGAGGCAAATGACGTCGTGCAAACCCACAAGCTGAGCGCTCCTGGATGTTGAAAACATGGCCATTCCGCGGAAACTTTGGAGCCTGACACAGAAAATAGAAACATTTGATTTCTTGTCCCGCGACTTCCGGCTGCGAGGCGAGAGGTGAGGGCGGAGCAGGAGGCGCACAGTGATACCGCAGGGCCAAAATCTTTTCTCGTGGGCAAGCAGCAAGCGCTCTCATGATATGAAGAGATCCTAGGGGGCCTAAAGCCCCCAGGGTCCTTTCATATCAGTTTGCCCTTGGGAGCGTTTCCCATGGGTAAACTGACTTGAAAAATTACTCAGGATGAAGCGCTTCCCTTGGGAAAATTACTCACCATGGCAACGTGACATCTCGAACCGCGGGGGGGTGGGGGTTACTGGGCCCCCGAAGCGGCAGGGCCGTTTGACGGGACCGGCAAAGCAGTGGCAACACGGAACCGGTAACAAAAACGGCCCTGCCGTTTCCAGGGCCCACTGAGGTCGGGAGCGGCCAAGAGGTGGGTGTCCAAGAGGGGGGCTGCAAATCATGACCGGCAGCATGTGAGCGGCCCAGCGGGGGGGCAAGGGACGTAATGAAATAAGAAGAGGCGCAGTGAAATCTGGGGACGTATCATGGCCCCCGCCATGACATCCCCCCCCCCTAGTCATCACCCCCCTTTGCCGCCCCCGATGAGGGCGACGCCCACAGTGGGTACGGAAAAAATGGGTACAAAGCCCAACAACAAATGTTGTCCCAAACCAACAGTGGGCGCTGTTTGGCAGGCGGATTTCTGTCTCGAATGGACACAGTCCGCGGCGGCGCGGACAGCGAATTCGATTCAAAATGAACAAGGTCCGCTGTTGGGCATTGTACCCCTTCTTTCCGTACCCATCCCGTTCGTGCCGAACTGAGGGCGGGGGCTGTCGTAGGACGTCTTCAGCTGCGCGCCGTAGGGCCCGGTGATGGTCTTCGCGACGATGAGGTTCGCTGGCGGCAGGGGCGCGCGAGGCCAGAGGCCGCTGGGGCGGGGCGGGGGCGCTCGGGAGGGCGGCCAGGGCCGGCGGCAGGAGGGAGGACGAGGACGAGGAGGAGGAGAAGGAGGAGGAGGAGGGAGGAGGAGGGAGGAGGAGGAGGAGGAGGAGGAGGAGGGAGGAGGAGGAGGAGGGAGGACGAGGAGGAGCAGGAGGAGGAGGAGGGAGGAGGAGGAGGGAGGATAATGAGGGAGGAGGAAGTGGAGGCGCAGGATAAGTTCCCTTCGGTTTCAATGCTAACGCTGTGGAGGAGGAGGAGGAGGAGACCCCAGCTGTTTCAACGCTAGCGCTGTGGAGGAAGAGGGCAGGAGGAGCAGGAGGACCAGTGTAAGCCCAAGAGTCATACATGATTTTCAAAATAAAACCCTCCCTCCCAATTTTCATAGGCCCCTGGAAGGGTGCATTTCCACTGAGGGAACTGCCTCGTTGGAAGACAACCGTTTGAAAACCCTGCAGCGTGCCAAAACATCGTTCTCGGGATTCCATCGCCACGGATCAACCTGATTGCTGCGTCTTGACGAAACGCCATTCCTGGGATTTCAACAACGCGAGTCAACGTACTTGCTGCACCCCCACAATCCAGAATCCTTCCAAAACGCAATTTCTGGTACGCTGATCATGGGAACCCGAAAAGTTCAATTCCTTAGGACGAATGTGCGCGGCGCTAGGGCGAGAGCCACATTTGAAATCGACCCGCCCTCAATCCATAAAACTCTTGCATTTTTAGAACGAGTATGCGCGGCGCTCAAGCGAGAACCACATTTTGAGAACGGGTCGCCCTCAATCCGTGAAACTCCTTCAACTTGAAAACGAATATGCGCGGCGCTAAGGCGAGAACCACATGTTGAAAACGACCTGCCCTCACTCTGCGAAACTCCTGCATTTTTTTAGACCGAAGGTGCGCGACGCTGAAAGCGGGTCGCCCTCAATCCGTGAATCTCTTGCTGATGTGTAAAACGAATGCGCGCGACGCTGAGGCGAAAACCACATTTTGAAAACGACCCGCCTTCCATCTGTGAACCTGTTTCTAATGTTTAAGCTTCAGGGTCATACATGGAAAAAGAAGTCTCAGGCGAAACTCCCAGCCCGCCATAAACACTGGCCTCGGGATGCGACACGGATGAACAATTCACAAGGAGAAGGAATGGAGGAGGAGACGGAGGAGGAGGAGGAGGAGGAGGAGGACGAGGAGGACGAGGAGGAGGATGAGGATGATGATGATGAGGAGGAGGAGGAGGAGGAGGAGGAGGAGAGGGAGGACGAGGAGGAGGATGAGGATGATGATGATGATGATGATGATGATGATGATGAGGAGGAGGAGGAGGAGGAGGAGGAGGAGGAGGAGAGGGAGGATGAGGAGGAGAAGGAGGAGAGAGAGGAGGAGGAAGAGCGAGGAGGGAGGAGGGGTGATGATAGACGCTGCGATCATCCGATCATAGCCCACGCAGCGCGAAGAGTAGGGGGGGGAGAGGAGAAGGCCCACGTGGCAGTGAGCTCGACGGGCAGGAGCCTCGCCCGCGCGCGGCCAACCCTGGGCCTGGAAACGGCCAACCCCGCGCAGCCGCCTCCGGCAACAGTGGGCGGCCCCGATGCGAACCGGCGGCCCAAAGGGGGAGCATGCTACGCATGGAACGAAGTCAGTGATGAGATTTTTTGTTTTCCCCCTGGCGCCGCGATTCGGCAACAATTTTCCCTGGCGCCTTAGGATGCGGCGTTCTTTGTTCGGATGCTGCGCGGGCTGTCACACAAAAAAAAAAGTCAGTGATGAGATGAACGATGAGGCTATGCTGCCACTTGTGGTTCTGGGAAGGCCACGATGCCCACGAGTGTCCACGCCGCCCTGTCTTCAGGGACTTCGCATTCCCCCTAGGATGGTGGCGTGGGAAGACGGGCTGCCCCCCATGGCACTGCACGTATGGTACCAGGTTCGTGAGGGCGCCCTGAGGATAGGAAGTGGGTCGCAAGCTAAACCTCCACTGCTTGGTGCCCACGTGCGTCCCGAAAAACTTCACGCCCTCGGGGCCCTCCCGCCGCGCTCTGCCTCTCCCCCTCTCCCCGCCGTTCGTCCTTTGGTCGTTCCCTCTTCTGTCCGCGCCCCCGTTTGCTTCGCTGCGCCCCGCCGTCGCCCTACCGCTGCTCGGATCCAAGTGGCCGCAGAACTAACAGCAAGGTCTACGCTCTCATCCTGGGGGCCCCGTCCCGCAGGGCCCCATCTCTCGCCATCGCCCAGACACGTCCATTTCCCGTGCAGGTCTCGATGCCGTGCGTGTTTTTTTGGTGGCCAGATGATCACGGATGCACCTCGATGGCCCCTGCCGAGAAAACAAAAAACGCACACGTCCGAACGATGCCAAGATCTTCGAGACAAGCGCGTTCCACTACCCGCAACGTAACTACTCGCAAATGGCCTGGTTCCGCCGAGGGGGACTTGCGATCCATAACATCGAGGCAGACGCTTGTTTTTCGTTTTTGACGTTTGCGAATTGCCATTGTTAGTGGAACGAAGACGTTGGAGCCCGTTGCGCTCCGCGCGCCAAGGAGGGGGGCGCCTCCAGCGCCGCTCCGACAAATCCGCGCGGACCTCCGAGTTTTCATGTTTATGCCATTCTTCGTTTCCCGATTTCTGGGAGTTGTGGAACTAGAGGCCTCCTAGAAGGGCTCGGAGTAGATGAAGTCGGAGGATCGCGCGGCATCGCCGATACATCGCCGATGCATCCGCGATGCATCGGCGATGCACTGGCGCGTCAGCGATGCATCGGCGACGTCGACTGGAAGCAAATCGGGCTGCACATCGAGCCGCATCGGCGATGCATCGGCGATGCGGCGCGATTCTCCGACCCCACCTACTCCGAGCCCATCTAGGCGGCCTGGAGAAACGTGCTCGGTGATCTTCAAGCCACCGAGAGAGGGCCCGCGAGGCTGCTGCGGGCGGCTGGCCGCAAGCTGGCCGGCGCGTCGCGCCAGGTGGGCCGCCCTCGGCGGCGGCGTGGGGAGGCGCCCAGAGGGCGGCGCTTGGGGAGCAAGCGCACGTACGAGCGCTGGAGTCGTGTGTGCGTCACCGGGAAACCCACCAATACCCATGACAGTAGGCCCATGTACGAGAAGAGTTGTTGTTGTTGTTGCTGTTGTTGTTGAACATTATTAATTCTAAAGAATAATTATTGTTGGGACCCCTGGTGCACGGCCCCCCTGCGCCGCCTAGGCCGCAGCTACATTTTCATCATTTTCGTGAGGAAGCCTCAGGTAATTCGATGTGATCAAGATCCGGTTGTTTTGTTCCCCCCCGCTTTCCCTTGCAAAAAACACTATAAAATGACATTTCTTGTTCTAATATAATCAAATTTCAAGAATCCCTTGCAAAAAATAAGGTAAAGTGGACATTCGCGCGCGCAAGACGAAATCCTTCCAAAAGCTTAGTGTTCGGAGCGATTTTAACATAAAAACATCAAAAAACCAATGGTTTTTCAACAAAAAAATGTCAAAATCTCATCCCGCGCGCTCTTGCGGATTCGTAGGAAACCCAACACTTTTTAAACATTTCTGTCAAACGGGCTTTTGCGAGCAACTTTTTCGAACTTCTGCGACAACGGTTGCGCACCTGCCAGGGCCATCATCCCTGTCAAATAATACCATGCGGGACACATTCGTTTTTTGCGCGCGCACGCCGAAATCTCCAAAAACCATTGGGTTCTTAAGAATTTTAGCACCGCGCATCATAAAATCACACGAATCGCACCGTAGGTCCTCGAAAAACACCTGCACGACTTTTCAAAATTTCCACCTGGTAACTGTACCATGTCTAGCACTGGTAACAAAGGTATTTGTGTATCCCCACATCCGCCCAGGAATTCCACAAATGTGACCAACTATCTTGCGAGTACGTATCATCTCATGTGTGTCGTGCACACTATCAAATGTAACAGAGTTGTGTATTCCCATCATCCCAGGAACTTGACCCAAAAATGTGACCAACTCCGCTCTCTCTGTCTCTCTCTCTGTCTGCTCTCTGTCTCTCTCTCTGTCTCTCTGTATTATGTATTGTATGGCACAATTGCACCATGCTGGGCACATGCGCGCCCCGAATAAGTGACCAAGTTCTGTGGGTGTGTACCCCACGCCAGTGTAGTAGCCACGGTCGTCCGCACGCCACGAAGTGAAGTGTCCCAACGTCATAGGGCGGGAAGCTGGGTTTGGGTGGTCGCGAAGAGTCGTTTGGATATTTGGTAGAGCTTGTAATGCCCCCCCACGAAGTGGGGGTATTGCCTGGTGTCGTATGAAAACCCTGGCACTGGGGAGAACACCACGCGTTCGGGTAAAATGATTGTTGCTGTTGTTGTTGTTGTTGTTGTTGTTGTTGTTGTTTATGCTGTTGTTTTTGTTGTTGTTGTTGTTGTTGTTCTTGTTCTTGTTGTTGTTGTTGGTGTTGTTGTTGTTGTTGTTGTTGTTGTTGTTGAGGTTGTTATTGTTAGTGTGTTTCTTAATATTCTTCTTCTTGCTAATATCATTAATAATATTAAGATTTGCGTAGCTTAAAAAATGCAGCGTTGAGGAGCGCTCCATGCACCATTCACTCCCAAACACACGAGCGCCTTGCTGTCACACCATAGCGTCGTCCCACAATTCTTGGGTAATATGCAGTCCTCCCGGTGAGAACTGAGAGCGGGGCTCGGGAACTCGAAAGCAAGTCCCCCCCTCGTTCTGGAGATTATTTTTGTTGTTACGCATTGGGCAGCGTTGAGGACCGCTTCATGAATCATTCACTCCGCATCACACGAGCGCCTCGCTGGAGTCGTGCATGCTTCGCCACGAAGCCCACCCGTGCCCACTGCAGTCGGCACACTTTGCAGAAGAGCTCTTGCCATGAGAAATCTGGGGCACACTGTTCGTCGATCTCCGCGGGTCCTCATAAAAAGGGACCCAGAGCTGCTGTGGGCTCCAAAGGTCGTCGGGGGAATG